TCACTGCTAATAAGATTTAAAAGCAGTGCGCCGTCAACTGCATCAATGGCCGAGTCTTACCTGGTTGTGGTGAGCTTTGTATTGTTCTTGACTGCAAAAGAACTGACTGAGCTTGTGAGGCATCGTAAAGTGAGTGAGCATTGTCTTCGTCTTTCGTCTTCTTCTCTCGGTCGCCGATTCACATGAACAGATAAGCGTGGCATTTGAGCAGAAGTGTAAAGGAAGAAGAAGAAAAAGGTGAACAACAACAACAACAAGCCATTGTCCGAGATCTGAAGAAGACGAAGATGAAGAAGAAGCGACAAAGTTGTGGCGGTTGAAAGAGGTGCAAGGAGTAAAAAAAAGGCAGAAAAGGGGAGAAGAGCTCGGAGTGTAATTATTCGACAAGGCAGGGGCAGTAGCGGTAATTATTTCGGGTAATTGCCAGGCGACAATTAGCGGTGCACATGTGTTCTGCCGTGTGCTGCCTCACGGAAAGTAGTAAAAGAGAAAAACAGAACGCTCGGCGGCGACAAAGATTCAATTTGTTGTATATCTCTCTTCCCTTCTCTTGTCTGTTCCAGTGCCGAGCGTTTGGGTTGGGTCTTTTCTAAAGTTGCAGTTGTGTGTTGTCTGTGTTGTCTGTGTGTCTGTTCCTGGAATGGATTCCCGCCGCCACCACGAGCATTCATAAATTGGCCGTCTCACTGTCTGTCTGCTTTTTCCTGTTGTCTGGCTTCGTTCGCCAGTGCTTTGTGCCTTGCCAGCAGTGAGTGTCTGGTCTTTGTCTCCGCTATATAGCCTGGTTGTTTTTTGGTGAAAGAGAGGCGCACCAGAGTAACTTTTACTTCTGCTGCTGGTTAATAATATTCGATTGAAAGTGGTGGTGGTCGTCGTGTTGGTGCCATTGACACTTGGCTGGGGATGGGTGCACCACTTAATCACCACCAATGGTGGCCAATGTTTGCTCTGTTGCGTTGAGGCGCGCTCTCACTGCACTTCATCGGCGTCCGGCGAAAGGAAATCCGTTCCAGAGAGGAGAATAGGAAGAATGAAAGTGAATCAAAGCTGATTGATGAACAGAGATGATGCTGATGATGGAGATAATGAGGAGATCTTTCTCTGTTGGCATTCAAATGATGACTGATCAATGCGGAATCTGATCAATGATGGAAGACGGTTGTTTTGAATAACGAAAATGTTGTAAAAGTAAATAAACACACTAAAATCAGTGGACATTAAATGACAACCACTGGCATCAGTGAGATGCTTTTGTTGAAGTGAAACAAGAAACACGAACACACAAAAAAAGTTGGCAAACTTGGCTTTTCAGTTCTTTCCTTTTTCTGCTGCTGCCACTGCTGCTGAACAGTTTGTTGTTGGTGTCTGCAGAGAGTGGCCAGAGAGTGTGGCGACGGCGGCGAGTAATGCCTTGTCTGCCTCTCAGTCTCTTTCTCTCTCACTTCTTCTCATTGAGCTCACTGGACACAGCAGACTGAAGCTCCGAAGCTGCAAGTCAAAAGTGAATGAGGAGAGAGCCAGAACAAAGAGAAGAGGAGGGAGAAAATTGAGAGAGAGAGGATCGTAAGAGGGCAACAGAAATAGAGAAGGCAAAAAGAAAGAGGGGGTACGCGCGCGCGTATGCACACACACAAATGGACGAATACTTGCTAAGCTTACTTACCAGCTAAGCTTTGCTCTTCTTATTCAGCCAGTGGTCGTTGTCTTCTTCATCCGCTGCTGAAGAGCTTCAGCAGCAGTGGCCTTTGGCGGTGAAGCATCGTCCGCCATCTGCTAGAGTAGCGCCAAAGACGATGGTCANAGAGGGGGTACGCGCGCGCGACACACACAAATGGACGAATACTTGCTAAGCTTACCACTCAATTTAGCTTTGCTCTTCTTATTCAGCCAGTGGTCGTTGTCTTCTTCAGTCGCTGCTGAAGAGCTGCTGCTTAAGCAGCAGTGGCCTTCGGTGGTGAAGCATCGTCCGCCATCTGCTAGAGTAGCGCCAAAGACGATGGTCACGATCTGAAAGGAATTTAAAAGGAAGGAGAGAATTAGTGGAATTTCGAAAGTCTGGAAACGGATTCAAGTTCGATTTTAGCAACAAAAAACAAAAGAAACCAAGATAAAACCACCACCTACGAAAACATGGCTTACTCATTAATCCATCGAAACCAAGCCAACAAACCACCAACGATCATCATCAAGACATGGTCATCGTGAAGGTGAAGAAGCCCCTTGCGGTAGTGTTCGACTTCTGCGGCACCGCCGCCCGTGACACTTTCGTGGAGAAGACGCTGCAGCCGTACTTCAAGCTGGCGTACAAGGCGTACTTCGAGGCCAACTGGTCCAAGGAGGAGTGCCAGGCGGATGCGAAGGCGCTGGCGGCGGTCGCCGCTAAAGATGCGGCCGCGCCTAAGGTTTAACGGATTTTAGGATAAACGAAAAAAAGTCACTAGAATAAACAAACCAAAACTTACCATCTCTTAGATCGACCTGACGGCGGCCAAGCAGGAGCAGATAGCGGCGCTGGCCAAGTACGTAGAGTACTGCGGCGCCAATAAGAAGGATACCTCTAAAGCTTTTGTCATGTACCGGTAAGAAAAGGATAGGGATGATCTTGAAGTCGGGCGAAAAAGGAACCCAAAATTCTAGGACTTGCTGAGGTTGTTGAAATTCTGTTTTGGCTCAAGTCACCACGTCTGTGAGTGGCGTCAAAGCATGATGAGTCATTCATTGATGACATGTTTTTTCTGGGACTTCAACTTTTTCTACTTTCCATTTCTAAATCGTGTTCCAAACTTCACCACCTCCAGATTCCACGTCTGGTTCGACGGCTACGACCGCGGCAAGCTGACCACGCCCGTCTACTCCGACGTCGCCGTGCACATTCAGAAGTGGAAGACGGAGCTGCAGCTGAAGCTCTTCATCTTCTCCAACGGCTGGACCGAGGCGACGAAGAAGTTCATGAGCAAGACCAGCCACGGTGACCTAAACGCCCTCATTGACGACCACTTCGACACCTCGCTCGGCTCGCTGAAGGACGCTGCCACCTACCGGAAGCTGATTGAGCGCATCAAGGAGGACCCCAAGGAGGTGACCTTCCTCACCAAGTCGGCCAGCGAGGGCAAGGCGGCCAAGGCGGCCGGCCTCAATGTGGTCCTCGTGCTGACGCACACGGCCACGGTGGAGGCGGTGAGCACCAGCTGCAAGGACATTCCCATTGCGCGCTCCTTCACCCAGGTGGAGTTCATCTGATGAGGATGAGGATGAGGATGTCTCCCGCCCTGATTTTGTTTTGCCGCCACTACCATTCTCAAATCCTGATGTCCATTATAACCGCCAACCCTGCACAACACCACTTTGATTCTTCACCGGTTTTATCGCCACTTTCGGTCACCGTTGATTTTATTGACCTTCGATTGGTAGCAGCAACAGCGCAACGAGTCTCTCTTTCTCTGTAAGCAAATCAGTCCGCCAAATGCCTGCCAATCTTCTCAACTATCAATATTTAGAAATAATTGCGAGAAGTGCGCCATAAAATAGCAACTACCACCACCAACACCACCAACACCGCCAGTGACGTCAACTAAACTCTCATTTTCTCTGCAATATTCTTTCTCTCTCGCTCCTTCTCTTCTATTTCAGTAATCGACTGTGAAGCTCATCTCCAGGGCAACCATCATCACCAGCACCACCAGCACCTGTTGCTCTGTTATCAGTCATTAAATAAAGAGCAACAAGCAAACTTTTGGCTGGTGGCAGCGGACGCGAGTATTGGTGGTGGCAAACTCTCTCATCACATCTCGGCAGACAGGCAGACACACACAAACCAGTGGCACACCCTGGTCGATTCACTGTAAACATGTGCCCCAGCAGATATTCACACAGCCACCACCACCACCACCAGCAGGCAACATGAGCTGCTAAGCTCAATCGTTTCCAGAAGTCGACTCCACTTATCACTCTCCACTTTGAATTACCCTAAATAATTTTACTCTGTGACCAGATCTTTAACATCGTACTCCTCGTCAGCACAACGACGACCAACTGCTATTGCTGCTGTTGCTGCTGACCGTTTCCAGGCAGTCTCAGCTACGAAAATTCCTGAAAAAGAATTCCCCACAGCAGAATCATGGCACTGTCGGCAGACAAGAGCGAAACGGACCAGCTGACGTACGGCAGCGAGACGCGAGACAACTTTGAGCTGGAGAATGATCCGAAGCACTACGTCAAGGACAAGTACCACTACAGCAATCGGCGCATCAAGATGGCCGTGTACCTCTTCGGCGGCCTGCTCCTCATGGCGGCGATCATCTTCCTCGCCGTCTACCTCATCAGCGGCCACCGCCAGAAGCAGAACCACTGGACGGTCCGCAGAGGGCCGCCACCGACCATAGACAACAACAACAGCAACTCCTCTTTGCTGCTGGCCAACAATGAAACGTCCTCCTTCTCATCTTTCCCTTCAAATGCTAGCGATACCACCGACTCAACAGCAGAACTGCAGCAAACGACGACGGCCTCATTGGAAGTAATCAGACCACAGGTAGACCGTCGGCGATTCATCCGCGACATGGCCCTCGAAGCGTGGGACGCCTACAGTCGCTACGCCTGGGGTCACGACGCCCTTCGACCGGTCAGTGGCAGACACTCAAACAAACTCTACGGCCTCAACTCCGGCCTCACCATCGTCACCTCGATGTCCACGCTGGCGGTGATGAACGCCAAGGAGCAGTTTGAACGGGGGAAGAAGTGGATTGAGGAGGACCTGAATCTGAGCGCCATGGAGGAGAGCGTCTCAGTGGCCAACACCGTCCAGCGCTACATTGGCAGTTTCCTCGCATGCTTTCTTTCTGGTAATGGTACCTTCCTCGAACATGCCGTCAAGGTGGCCGACCTTCTCCGGCCCGCCTACAACCAGTCGCCCTCTGGCCTGCCGTACACAAAGCTGAAGCCAAAGACCGGACAACCCTCAGGACTGACGCCGACATTGGCGGACCTTGGTGGCCAGCACCTCGAGTACGTCTTTCTCGCCGACCAATCTTTGTTTTCCATCACTGCGTCCGAAAAAGCCAAACTTGAAAAGTACCGAGAACAAGCGACAACAATTCGAACTTTCTTCGCCGAACAGATCGAGAAACCCGGAAACGGTCTCTACCTGAAGTGGGTGTACATTGCAGGGCAGAAGGGCGAGTGGCGGACAAATGTGAGCACACTGAGCCAGGCAGGCGGCACTTTTTACTCGTACCTCCTCAAGGCGTACATCTTGTCGGACGGCCGCGACCGTCAGGCGCTAACCATGTTCACCGACGCCATGGACTCCCTCGACCGAGTCGGCGTCTTTGGCGTTTTTCACGGCCTTTCGGGGCCGATGGTCTTTGCTCGGGACTTTCACTTGAATGACCACTCACTGGACGACTACATGACCAGCGACGCCTGCTACCTGGGAGGACTGATGGCGCTAGCGGCGCACACACTGGAGAAAGCCCGAAAAAAGTTATCGTTGTCCTCTTTTTTAGATAAGACGGGAAAGGAGGAGGCCAAGCGGTGGGCACTTCGCATTAAGCGGTACTGGTATTTGGGCGAAGAGCTGACGAGCACCTGTCACAAGGCGGCCCGGCAGTCGCCGAGCGGCCTCCCGCCACAGCGCTTCTACTTCGACGCGGCCACCGGCCTGGGGGCGACCAACTACAAGCCAGGCGCCCTGCACCGAGGCTACCACCTCTCGGCGGAGCTGGCCGAAAGTTACTTCATCCTCTGGCGCCTCACCCGCCAGCAGAAGTACCGCGAGTGGGCGTGGGAGCTGGCGCAGGCCATCCACCGCCACTGTCGAGTGGTGGGCAAGGATGGTGCTGGTGATGGCTTCTCCGGGGTGGATGACGTGTACAATTTGGCCAGTGGCAGTCTGCCCAAGACCGACTACCAGAATGCGGACCTGATTGCGGCCACTCTCAAGTACCTCTACCTCACCTTCGACGGCGGTGACGACTTTCGTCTGGACCATTGTGTCTTCAATGCTTTCGGACAGCCGCTGCTCATCCTCTAGAAGGCTTAAGACAAATAACAGTGAGCCAGTGTTTTGCCTTTTTAGATGAATTTGTTGATGTTGGCCAGCTGGAGCCTGCCAGAGAAAGTTGTCACTGTCACTGCGCTGCTTTTATTATCTCAGAACTTATCAGCAGCAGCCTAGCCAGAGGAGTGCGTCTTGATAAGGAAATTGCCAATCACTTTTTAATGAATGAATAAAGCCAAGTCACATCTTCTGCTGTCACGTGAAAAGTATGTCATAGCCTCATTACCACAGCCGCCGCCGCCAACAGCATCATCATCATCACATCATCAATAATCTAATCAAATCTGTCAAAAGAAAATTTTGTGAGAGTGAGACTACAATTGTTGCAATAATAAAATATGCTTGAGATTGTCAAAAGGCAGTTAGCTGCTACGGATTGCCGTTCAAAAGAAGTTCAGTTATGTAATGAAAAGTAACTGAAGTAGAGGGAGAATTTGAGTGGTTATTTGCGTTGAAGTGCGTGTCCTGATCAACACAGCACCAGTCAAACCAGATCAGTATTATCCCCCAAATACTCACCGACAAAACATCTTAATAATGGCAGACATTGAGAGTACCAGGAAAGCACCACTTTCCGCTAAAGTGAAGGTAAGTTCTGTTGATACTTCCAAAATAGAACCTCACGCTGAAGTCTTCTTTTTTGCCTCCATCACCAGCACTTCCTCTCCTCGAATCGAAACTCGCTGCTGACCATCGGCGGCGTCCTCTCCGGCCTCCTCCTCGGCATGGCCGTCAAGGCCATCTTCTGGCCTCCTGGAGTGGATGGAAAGGAGGTGACCATTGACCCGTACCTCCTGCGGTACGTCAGCCTGCCGGGCATACTCTACATTCGCGTCATCCTCCTGCTCATCGCGCCGCTGCTCGTCTCCTCGCTGGCCACCAGTTTGTTGCAAACTGAAGATGAGGATGAATCTTCAGAGCATCCAGAGCATTCATCCCCAGCAAAATCTTCTTCGGAAATCAACGCCAAGAAGCTGCTCATCACCACGCTCACCTTCTTCATCAGCTTCACCCTGGTCGCCGGCCTGCTGGGCATCAGCCTAGTGGTCGTCTTTCAGCCTGGAGTGTCATCGTCATCTTCTTCTTCTTCATCATCATCTTCAACCAGCTCTTCACTGCCCATCAGTGTCAGGCAAATGTCAACCACAACAAACCGAAGCAGCCAGATTGAGCAGGCAAAGCGGGCCATCGAGCAGAAGAACTACAAGAGCGATGCGCTGAACAATTTGATTTTGTAAGAAAACTGTTCGAGATCAAAGATTCTTTGTTTACCTTTTCTCTTCTTTCCCCTTTTAGAAACATCTTCCCCGACAACCTCCTGACGCTGCTCTTCATGACCTCCTACGTCAAGACGGAGACCACCTGGCCGGCGGACCTGTCCACCCTGCTGGAGGCCGACTTCAAGCTCAGGCTGACCCAGACGACGGTGCAGAGCTTCCGGCCGAACATGATCGGCATCTGCTCCGTCTCCTTCCTCCTCGGCCTGCTCCTCAAGAGCCTGGGGCCGCGGCGGTCGGCGGTGATGCGCGCCCTTCTGCGCGAGGTGGACGCCCTGGTGGGCGCCTCCTTCAACCACCTGCTAGCCTTCATGCCGCTGGGCATGTTTGCGTGGATGTTCGCCGAGGGCCTGAAGATGCAATCGATTGGCGGCGTTCTAGGCCAGCTGCTGCTCTTTTACGTCCTGGTGACGGCGGGCTTCGCCGCCCTCTGGCTGGCCTTCTACCCGGCGGTGGTGTACCTCTTCACGCGGCGGAGCGCCTTCGCCACCTACCGGGCGGTCTTTCCGGCGATGCTGATCGCCTTCGGCACCACCTCCAGCGCCATTTCCCTGCCGATGACAATGAAGTGCATGGAGGGCAGTCCGGTGGAGCGCCTCTCCAAGCCGATCGCCCAGTCGGTGCTCCCGCTGGGCGTCACCATTCATATGAACGGCTCCGCGGTCTACTACCCCATGGTCGCCCTCTTTGTCGCCCAATTCAAGGGCCTCCAGGTGGACTTCTTTATGCTGGTCGTTCTGTGGTGAGTGGGTGGGGTTTTTGGGTGGTGGTGGTGGTGATGATGATATGATCTTATCCTTTGTTTCCACCCAGGATCTTCACGCTGGCGATGACCATGGGCCTGCCCGGCTCGCCCAACGGCGGCAGCACCATTATCACGCACATCGCCTTCGCCTCCGCCATTG